CTTCTGACCCCAGGCCCTTCACACTCACTGTCTGCTCCCCGTAAAGGCCTCCCCTTGATTTCCACAAGATTCCTCCCTTTGCTTACCCGTTATTTGTTAGTAAGACTTCTGAATGGCTTATCAAAGATCATCTGCGGTGGTGCCTTTGCTCTGGCTTTTATTTCCTTTTGGCGACATTATATTTTACTTTCTCTCTTTTTTTTTTTTAAATGTAAATCTGCCATGAAGACACAGGCTCCACACAGGAAGACACACTCTCTGGTGCTGTTTGCCCACAGTATAGACGCTTGGCAGACATGCAGGAGGCCTCGCCTGAGATGGTAGAGTGGGTGGCTGATGTTCTAGGCCTGTCTTTCTGACAGCTTCTTTACTCAGCCCTGGCCTTTTGGAAGCTCTTTTATGATTGCTTTTTGAGGCTGGCTTGGAATTTGCCACACTTCTGCCTCACCTTTTTGAGTGTTGGGATTACAATCATATTACCATACCTGGCTTCCTGTTGGAATCTCGTAGGGACAGTTGTTATTCAGAGTGCTATTTATTCCCTCTGCCAGGAATTGTCAAACAAACAAACAAACAAACAAACAAACAAATACCCCCCCAAAAACTGAAACAATTGCTCAATGCTTAAGGTGGAAATCAAATCTACTGTAAGTTGGTCCAGTTTGTGGCTAACTCTTTATTTTTAGTGGAACATGAACATTTTGAATGCTGGGCCGCAATGGGGTCCTGATGCCTAAGCAGGTCTTTGATGTGCACTGGGGAAAGCATTCTACTTGTGGATGGATGGAGCCTGCATCTCTGTATTTCGCAGGGTGTCTCAATGGCTCTGGAGCCACAGAAAGCGTCATTGATCTGGAGATAGGTCTGTGCACAACCTTGACATGTGCCCTCTTGAGTCTATCAATCACACATTTCTATGGGTTCAAGGCTGAAGATTTCCAGCTCATTCCCTAAACCCCTCTTTCCAGCTTCAGGAAGCCAGGGAAGGATTCTCTGCCTCTGCTCTGTATTGGCCTGCTCTGGGAGAACTTCTGCCTCTACCAGGAGCCGCTTGACCTCCTGCTTCTGGCTTGCTGGTGGCTGCATTTGGTATCACCCGGCAGCGTGCAGGCTAGACATACCCTTGGGCAGAATTCCCACAGACTGAAGCCACAGCAACCTGGACCCCCCTTTTATTGTTGGAGCCCCTCATGCACTCTTGCTCTGCTTACTCCTGCTTCTGTGGCTCTCTTTCAGAGATCTGTGGCTTTCCTTTGCCTCTCATCCCTCAGAGAAGCCAGGGGCTCCTTCAAGTTATAGAAAACATCCTCAGCTCCCGGCCTTACCTACGCCACCCGGGAAATGCTAGTAAGGACCTACGCCCCATCTGTAGGTTTAGAGACAGATTCTTATTATGAGGCTGAGGCTGGCTCCTTAGGCTCTGCACTCCTAGGCTGACTAGGAGTCCACAGGCTCATCTCTCCTTTCTTAAAGTTGCAGCCAGCAGTTTCACACACCCCTCACATATAGCTGCCTTAATGGAGGCCATCACTCCATCTGCTGCAAGAGCATCCCTGCCTCTACAGTTCAGAGGCTCACTGCACTGTGTTTCTGTTTTCTCACCTGTGACAAGCCTGGATTGGCTACCTGTGCAGCCAGGCATCTCTTCATTCCATGAATCATTTCTATACCCCATGGGAGACTTGCTTTGTCCACCCCCCCCCGGTTTTTTTGGTCCTTGCTTGTCTATAGGGTATGGAGCACAATGGTTGGTCAGAAGAGGGTCTGTATCTGAGAGACTAGCTCTCTTAAACTTGTTCACACTCAGGTTCCTGTGCAGAAGTTGGCTCTGTGTATGCTATATCCCTGCCCTACCTTACTTCCCTGTAGTGTAGGTGAGATTTGGGGCACTGAAAACATCAACCCACGACAGTAATTTGTTTTGGGTGGAATAGTTGCTACATACCCAACCTCTTTAGTCAGATCCCACTTTCTGTTGCCTTTGCAGCCTGCTACCTCCCCTGTTTTGGTGGAGGCTGCACTGAATAGGGCTTGTGGGGAATGTTTTCCCAGTAGCAGCCTCCTAGGTGTCCCCTCAGCAGTGGGGAAGCAGGGCCCAGAGGTTGCCGCATATCTGGGACAGCTTCTGGTCATACCCCAGACTAGCTCTAAAGGTATATGCTCTTCATCTGCACCCACATAGCAGTTTCTTCCCTTGAGGCAGACGGAAAGACTATGGTGGTATTTTCTTTTCTCCTTACCCAAATTCAGAGGGCATCCCTGGTCTACTGCCATCACCTTCCCTGACCTGCAATGACTCTAATGACATCAGACACGGGGAGCCCCTCCTCTCTAGACAGACTCAGAAAGTCAGGAATGGAGCTAACTCAATTTCTTGTTTTATGCCTCCAGCAGTGCCTTACCTGGCAGCTGCCCACTGGCATGTCGGCTACCTGCCTTTGGACAAACTCCAGATCAGTCATGGGGAGGCAACATAGCCCCAAAGCCATGCTGGGCGTTTTCTTAATTGACGATGCAGAACCTGGAGGCTTGCTCCCATCACCTCCCCTCGTAGATTGAGAGAGACAGGGGTGTTCTGATCAATGGCTCAGTGCCGGAGGACAAACTGGTGTGGGACTTCCCTGCGAAGTCTCCCTCTCTGTGCTCTCCTGTCATGAGAATTTACAAAGCTTCTAAGTGAACAGTCCCTGGGGGAATAGCCCTAGAATTTTGCAAGTCATAAGCCGAAGCCGGAATATAAACTCTTAGTCTGCACACTGCTCCAAGTAACCCTCCCCTACATAGGGAGCCCAGAGCAAAGCAGGGGGATCTGTAGAGTCTGTGTAGCTCAGGATCTTTCAGTTTGGGCTTAACTAAGGCCGCACAAACTGCAACATGAAAGGCTGGGTTGGTGTGTGCATGTGTATATGCGTGTGTGGGTTTGTGTGTGTGTGTGTGTGTTGCATAGCTGCATGTGTGTGCCCATGGAAGCCAGAGGTCAAGGTCTCTCACTGAGAGCGGAGGCTCACTGATTATGCTAGGCTAATTGAGTCCCAGGGATCCTCTTGTCTATGCATCTCTAGTACTCGGATTATACTTTGTGTTACCATATCTCGTTTTTAACATGGGTGCTGGGAATTGAACTCAGGTCCTCAGGTTTGTGGGGCAAGTACTTTAACAACAACTGAGCCGTTGTTCTAATACCCGAGTGCTGGTTTTTCAGTGGTTAAGTTGTCATGCTTAATGACACAGAAAAAGAAAGCACGGAAGAATCTGGGTGGGGGGGATTGTTCCTTGTCATAGGTGGCTTGGACCTAAAGCGTCATCTCAAGACAAGCAGAAATGTACGTACAGAAGCAGCTCATAGTGGCAACGCCTCTAATACTAACAGCTGGCAAGCGGAGGCAGGACAGTGTGACTTGGATGGCAGTCTGGGTTTCTGTCCTGCTTTGCATTCTATCGCGGTGATAAAACTCTGATCAAAAACAACTTGGAAGGAAAAGGTTTATTTCTTTTTACATCCTATAGTCCTGAAGGGAAACCAGGGGAGGAACCCGGAGGCAGGAACTGAAGCAGAAGCCATGGAGGAATGTTGCTTATTGGCTTCCTCAGCCTGCTTTTTAAATAGAAGCCAGGACCATCCACCTAGGGATGGTATCATTCACAGGGAGATGAATCCTCTACATCAATTATTAATCAGGAAACTGCCCTACACACCTGCTGACAGGTCAATCTGATAGAGGCATCCTCTCAACCGAGTATCCCTCTTCCCAGATAATCTAGCCTGTGTCAGGTTGAGAAAAAAACAATAATTAAAAAAAAACTAACCAGGAAAGTTACACAGGGATTCCTGGGTCAGCTTGTGATAGGTAAGGAGACCCTATCTCAAAAACAAAGCAGATCTCTCTCTCCCACGAAAGAATGACCTTACCACAATAGCTGTGTCCTTGCTGGTCTTCATTCCTGAGCAGAAAAAAATGGTTTCGGCGTTCAGTCTGTGACTGTTTTCCAGTGGCCAGAAGTCAGCTGGTCAGATGGGATATTTGCTTGCAACACTTCAAATATCTGAGCCTTTGGGGCCAAAGCTGTCACTTCTCTTCTTCCGAATCTGTCTGCGATCTTTGTTTGTAGACCAGTACTCTCAAACCCATGGGAATTTCCCCTTCTTTAGTTGAAATGTGTAACCCCAGACTGAGTGAAATACCACCTACCACGAGAGGACTTTTCCTTTCTCCATATGAAGATCCCACAAGATGGTAGTTAGGGTTTTGTAGAGGAGAGTGGGCTGGTGACCACAGGTTACCTTGAGTACCCAGCCGGTGGCTCTGGAGCCTCTGTGGATGACCATCCTAGCTGTCTAGCTGGGTTATGTCTCACAAACTGAGCACTCTGGCAGATGACATCGTCTGGATGGGACTGAACACATTCATGATGCAGAGTGAGAAACCTAGTGAGCTAACTGGGCCACCGTTCTGGACTTGGCTCAGCAGAGAGATGATGGATGCCAAACATGGCATCCTTAAGTTTCACAGGGGCACAATCCTGTCAGGGACTCAACAAACACTCTTTTCTCCTCTGTCCCTGAATAGATTTGGCCACTTGAAGTGTGCATGGGAGTTTGGTCTACTGTAGGGAACAGCATAGGGAGAAGTGAGAAGAACCTTCTGTGTTGCCTGTGTTAAGGATGCCAAGGAGGAGCGAGGAGAGAGAGCCTTCTCTGCTCTATTTCTTCTCCTGTCCTCTCTAGAGAAGATATGGCTAGCGGCCCTGCCTCCTCCTCTTCTGCAGGTGGCGTCTCCCCCCCACTGAAAACAAGCTGAATAAATTTGGTTCATCACTGCAAAGGTCATACAAGCTCCTGTTTGGCAAATTGCTCAAAGAATTGGGGCAGTGGGGCTAGCAAATATGCTTGGCTTCCAAAAACCCCAGCAAGTTGCCCTCAGATGGATGTTGTTTGTATATCTTCTTGAAGACTGCTTGTCATTTTAAATTTCTAACAGGTCTTACTTTTTTTTTTACAGTTCCTGAATGCCACGGCTTTAAGAACATCCTACACCCAAGACGGAACTCTGTGGCTTTAAGACTTGCCTGGTAAGGACCACCATCATTTTGTAGCCTTATAGTTTGTTGAAAGGTGGGAGGTGTCTGTGAGTCTGGGGAAATACAGGCTGCCTTTTCACAGGTTTCTGTGCTGAGACAAAATCCTTAAGTGAACTCCCCTATATTGAGAGGGTTGCAATGGACTGTGGAAGGTGGCCTGGGATTCCGATCTTCTGGGTGGGATGAACATATGCATTCAGCAGACATGCCCCTGAAGCCCAAGTGGACCCACCAGCTGAGCCAAGACTCATAACGACAACTTCATTCACTGTTATGAGACATCTGAGCTGTGGCAGTTTGGGATTAGTGAACTGGGGCTGCTGGAAGCCAAGTGACCCAGTGAGTGTATCACTGTAGTCAATTCCCCTGACACTCCTATGTGATTTGGTGGGCAGGCCCAAATCTGGGGGATATCTGTCCTAGAGAAGTATCACCTCTGTCATCTCAGCCCCGAGACACCAAGCTCAGAACTGGAGTGTTTTTCCTACACGGACGCTCATAGAAACTTGTGTAATACAGAAGACTGTGAACATTTCCTGGCCCATTTAAGGTGGCCCCAGTATTTCTAGTTAGTCCAGTCCACCTTCTTCTGGCCATACACCTCTGAGGTCACTCTATAAACCAAGGGAAATTGATAGTGGGATTATGCACTCAGAAATTAATTTTATATTCTACCGAATATATGTATTTTTTTTATTGTGACTATCTCATTGGGGGAAAGCGCTTACTTCTGATTTTGTGGATATTACTGACCGCGGATTACTTTTATTTTGGTTTTTACACAACATTTATATTAGAAATTTGCTGTTTTATTCTTACCTTCTTAGTAAAAATCCTTTTATCACACAATGGGTAATTTATATCCATTACCAGGCCTTTCAATCCTTTTCAGCGGGCTGTCAGTGCCGTTGGCACAGTAATGATTAATGTGATCTAATAATAGTGTGCCATTATATTACCTTAGTAAAACATGTACCAACATCCTATTCGGATCTACCAAATTCATAGCTTCCTATAATATTTTTGTTGAAAGACAGGATTACTATTTTTCAAAGCTGATTTCCCCCCCTTTAACATATTTAATGAAATTCACAATTCTTTGCCTTAGTAATCCAGGACATGTGATTGGACGTGACGGGCGAATTCCGGGTCTGTAGGCACCGTTGTGATTTGTCAGTTGAAAGTGTGACAGTCCCAGTGATCTGCCGGGAAGATTAGTTTGTTTTTGTCGGGTCTGGGTTGCTTTGCCTTGAAGAAGAAGAAAAGGAACAACACAAATTGGCAGGTCTCTGGCTCCTTCTGATTTCAATAAAGAAAGTATGTTTTAGGTCAGAAGGCAGAAGAATATGCAATTTGGTTCCGAGATGCTTTTCTTTCCTGCTATTTGGTCCCCTCTTTCATCACCTGCTATTATCTGCTGGCAGCCAGGAGAGGTGGCAAAATCAGAGGAAGTACTATGAGACAAATGTCCCAGGATGTTCCTCTCAAGCCCCTTTCTTTACCTCTTTAGGTCTGACATGAGGCTTCTCAGATTTGGCACTGTTAGCGTGTTGAACTAGATAATTCTGCACTGTAGGAAGCTGCCCCTTCCACACAAGCCTTTTTCCCACTGGAACAACCAAGACGTATCCAGAAATCTCCACATGTTCCTTTCGGATCCAACCAGGTTTTATCGGAGGTCCCTCCACCTCATGTGATAGACACATAAGCAGACCCCTGTGTATGTGTAAGGGAACTCCAGAGGCGACTCTTTAGCCTCAGGTACCTCTTATCTATCTTTGACTTTGGGAAAGGGGAACATGTAGATGGTGGACACAGAGCATCCTTTGCGTGGCTGAAATATAGTTCTCTCTCTGTTTCCTCCTGCCTCCTCTGCTATAGAGCTAGACCAGAGCAAAGGCCTCAGTCTTTAGCTTTTCCCTCTTAAATCCCATTATAATCATGCTCGTGATTGATAACATTCCACCTTTTCAAAGGACTTTAAAATCTGTGTCAACCAAGGATGACATTATTGTAGTATCGGGAGAGAGATGTATTCAAACAATTACACACTCGAATCCAAGTGAGAAGGTTTGTCCTTCTATCCCTGAAGCCTTTGTGATGGGGTTTGAGCCAGCATTTCAGCCCACCCCCATGCCCATTAATCCTCACCCCGATTCCCAGCCTCCCACAAAGTCTCTGCAGGAAAATAAATAGGAAGAAACAGGCTTTGTCCTTTAAACTAATCAGCTTGAAAAGTAGTTTGAATATTGGGGCTGTTTAAGACTGGAGGGGGGGAGAGAGAGAGAGAGAGAGAGAGAGAGAGATCAGTCTTATTTTTGATTCAGAACAAGAATTACTACTGCAACATTGACTCGAAATATGCAATCAACCGAAATCAGGAAAGTATTTTGAATACAAAATTTATATTGAAATACTCAAATCTTGATACGTGTGCACTCACATACATGTATATATTTAAATCAAGGCTAGAGAAGATGGGGAGCAAAGCTTTTGTCACAAAAATACTGCTGCAATATTTACCCTCAGACGATTCTGCATCGTTGGAGTGTATTTCTGTACCATTAACGTTTTCCATATGAGGCATCCTTGCTTGTTTTAACAACAAATGAGCAAATGGAGCTAATTTACCTTTGTGTTAGGAAGATTGCAAATGCATTATGATATTTGGGGTGGGAAGCATCTTTACCCATTTCTGGTCTGTCTCCCATCCCGAAGGGTAAAACTGATGAGGGTAAGGGTATTTTGTGTGTCGCTCAGAGTTATTTCTCTAGTTCTTGGAATGGTACTTGGTAAATAGTACTTTTTTCATTTTTTAAAAAATATTTTATTCATTTTATGTATATGAATTCTTTGTCTGCATACCTGCATGCCAGAAGAAGGCATCAGATCACATTGGAGATGGTTGTTAGCCACCATGTGACTTCTGGGAATCAAACTCAGGACTTTTGGAAAAGGAGCCAGTGCTCTAAACCACTGAGCCATCTCTCCAGCCTCGAATATTATGTTCTTAATAGTAGAGAAAATGGATGGGTGGCTAGCTAGCTAGACACATGGATGGATGATGATTAGGTGAATAAATGGGTGTTTAGATGGATGGATAACTGGATAGATGGATGGCTAAGTGAATGAACGGTGGGGTGTGTAGACAGATGTATAGGAGGATACATAGATGGGTGGGTGAGTGTTAGGTAGATGAATAAGCAGATACATAGATGAACAGATGGATAGATAAATGAGTGATTAGGTAGAAAGATGTATGAGTGGCAAGCATATGAATAGGTGGGAAGGAGAGCGGATGAATAGAGGGATGGGTGTTTAGGTGATGGATCAATGTATAGGTCAATGGATGAACGTATAGCTGAGTAGGTTAGATGAGCAAATGGTTGGATAGGTAGATCGATGAATGGATGATGGATAGATGGATGATTACAAACATGGGTAGATGGGTGAATGATGAATGGATGGATAGGTGGGTCCATGAAACACTGTTTCAAGTTTCAACATAAATTTATGAAAATAGTAAGCTTTGGTCAAAATGAAATACATTTTTACCATCTCTTCATGCTTGACCTCTTAAATTATTTTTTTTTTTAAATTTCAAAATGGGTAGTCAAGCTTTTTTGTTTGTCTGTTTGTTTGTGACAGGGTTTGTCTGAGGAGCCCTGGCTGTCCTGAAACCCAAGGTGTAGACCAGGACTCTGCCTGCCTCTGCCTCCCTAGTGCTGGGATTAAAGTCGTGCACCACCACTGCCAGGCCAGCCAGGCATTCTTGTTACCTCTTCTTTTAAACTAGTTTTTTCAAGTAAAGGAAAATATTTCTAAAAGTATGTAAGGCAATCTCTGTAAGTGAAAAGATACTTTGTTGCAAATATATATATACATATATATGTATATGTATATATGTATATATATACACACACACACACATATATACATATGTATATGTATACATATATATGTATACACACACACACACACACACACACACACACACACGAAGATCTCCAAGAACACATGCACCCACGGCTGGGCTGAAAGACATGCACTGGAGAGAATGAATGACTGGAGGGATGGGTAGATAGGTAGATGGGTCAGTGGATGGGTAAAGGGATGAATAAATGGAGCTCAAGTAGGGGCAGGTGATCTGTTTCAAAGAGTAGGTAGTTGATGAGGCTCAGAAGACTGTGCACATGTGTGGTGTCTATCTCCTGGCTAAGACTATAACTGCGTGTGTTTCATATTTGTAGAGGCTCTTGGTGTCTTCTTGTAATTTACTATGCTTCTTTTCCTTGGACTGGTCAACCCTGTAGGGTCCAGTTATCTTCACGATGGGTTGATACTCTTATGGTATATTCTCAAGATCAAGTACAGTGGGTTCGATGAACTCACATACTAGGAGGCGTCATCCCAGTGATGGGAATGATCCAGGTCTCCCCATGAGTGACCTTCAAATTATTATACAGTGACAATCATTGGAGCATCAGGGAGAAAATAATAGAGAAGAGAGACACCCATTAGTTATCACAGTAGGCCTGGAGCTCCAGCACAAACAGGTGAATTTGGGAATCATATTTCCTGTGTCAGGACATTAGCTCTACCACTCATTGGCTGCATGAACGTGTACCAAGTGGCTTATACTTCTGTTTTCTCATCCCTACATTGGGAATAACACTAACATCCTGCCATGGATTATACCATGCCATGTACTTAACACAATGTCTAGCTCACAGTAGACAGTGAATGTGTGAAACGTTCATTGTTTTCACTTTCTCTGTTTGGTCATCTCTTCGTTTCTTCTGGTTTAAATAACAATAACGAAACTTATAAACCATTTCTGAAAAATTAAGCCCTCTCTGGCTCTTACCAAAGCTAGAATCCTCAAGACATTGCCAGGCATGTGGTCTCCCTAGCACCCTTGGGGACATTGGTTAGTAAGTTCAGAGGACTGTCAGAAAGGGTGGTGAGTTTCTTAAGCCAGCTTTCCTATC